CTCCAAAAATGTTAAAAGATAACACAGCACAGCCTCCCTTCCTGCCGCCCCTGTTCCCACCGTTAGGAACCTCCTGACTAGCTCCGCCTGATCCGCCAGAGGCGCTGTGTACGTCCGTGAACAGATACGACAACAGATCCTTGTATTTTTATCCCTTTTTGCCCAAAGATAGCTTAGCATACTGAATGCACTGCTGCAAGCCTTGCTTTTCTTCGCTGGGTGCACTGTGGAGGCCTCTGTCACCGCGTGGAGAGGCCCTCAGTCCCTGGGCTGCCGCGCGGTGAGAGGAAGGAGGTGTGGGGGGCACCCTTCTCGCTGGGCGCTTGCCACCCTGCCCTATGGCCCCCTCCCCTCCTGCAGCGGGGGGCTCCGCGCGCCGCGCCGGGAGCGGGCACAGACACACAGCGCGTGCTCGGCGCTGCAGCTGCCGGGTCGGGGCGTGAGTCTGATGCTGCCGGATTGCCACCCTTGGGAACTGTACCAATTTGCTGCCATTAGAATTCTTGACAAGGGCTGGCTTTCCTCATACCCTTGCCTCGAGTGTGATTAAAACCATGCTTTCTTACCGATCTGACAGTTGAAAAGTGGCATCTCAGAATATACGTGTGTATTTTAGTGGACTGGACTTCTTAGTGCGTCACAGCAGGAGTGAGCGGGACGCAGCGCTCCCGGCCAGCCTGCACCGACATGTCGTCATTCAAAGGCCATGCTTTACATTTGGGTTTGTTCCTAGCGTTTTTCAGGATAGTTTTACTTGCATTTCTCTTTTTGAGGTTACTTTTTTCACTTATTTAAAAAGCCATTTTTATTTTATGTTCTGCCTAACCACATGCATAACCTTTCTAAGCCTTGGTCCACTTACCTGTACAGTGGGGACATTTCTCCTCCCCTCAGAGGGTGACAGTAGGAAGTGAGGGGAATAGAGCCGTTAGCCCTGCACCTGGCAGGGCACACACACTGGACGGCAGTGCTGTCACATGAGCAAAGGGACAGCCTTTGATTTCTAAATAAGTACACGCACGTGCACACACCCCCACCTGCAAGCAGAGGGGCTTGTCTCTTGCACAAACATTCACCTTGTGCAGGTCCCTGGCTCTAAGGCAGGAAGTGCTAAGTAAGAAGAGAGGGTGAGGTGGACGCAGCGGTTCCCCTCAAGATAGAAGAAAACCACGGCTCCTGTCTGGGGCGCTTTCCCGCACGGTGTCACTACTAACCACCATCTTCCTAACCACGCCTGCTTCCGAAGTTTACATCTGACATGAAGCCATTCTCCTTGCTGCTTGGCGTCGCATGCAGGGAGCGCTGTGACCCTGGCTGTGGGCCACCCCCGTCCTGGTGTAACGCCTGCTGGCCTTCAGGAACCAGGTCAGCAGTGACGGGGTCTGCCCTGTGTGCAGGGGCAGCAGCTGGGCACCACGGGAAGAAAAGAAGCGTGTGCGCCCCTGCCTGGGTCTCCCGGCGGCACGGAACATAAGGTTGGCTCTAGAGCAGCGTCACTGCCGCATTCCAGCTTATCGGGAGTGACGGCGGGGGCGGGGGTAGAGGTGCAACAGCCAGACAGTGGCCTGCGTCTGTCACTTGCCTCCCGCAGACCTCAGGCACAGAGTCTCTGGTTGGGAAGAGAGCTGCGCCCTGCCTTGCTTCTCTGACTCCCGTCGCTGGCTGTGTCCGAGGAGGCCTAGGCGCTGGGTGTCCGTCAGAAAGAGACGCCCGTTTCGTTTTTGTTAGCAGGTCTTTCCCGCCGTGGCTTCCCTGGGGCTGAATGAACAGGAGCTGTTATTTCTCAGCCAGTCGGCATCTGGCCCTCACTCCTCTCTGTCCTCCTGGAACGGCGTTCCTGATGTGGGCGTGGTCAGCGACATCCTCTTCTGGATCTTGAAGGAGCACGGGAGGAGCGAAAGCAGAGCCTCCGACCTCACCAGGATCCACTTCCACACACTGGCCTACCACATCCTGGCCACCGTGGACGGACACTGGGCCAACCAGCTGGCGGCCGTGGCGGCAGGAGCTCGCGTGGCCGGGACCCAGGCCTGCGCGACAGAGACCATAGACGCCCGCCGGGTGTCCCTGAGGGCGCCCCGCGAGTTCACCACCTCGCGTTCGGAGGCCGGCTCCAGGGTCGTGCTGAACCCGAGCGAGCCGGTGGTGGAGTGGCACCGGGACGGCGTGTCCTTCCACTTCACACCCGTGCTGGTGTGTCAGGATCCTGTGCGAACCGTGGGCCTCGGAGACGCCATCTCGGCCGAAGGGCTCTTCTACTCGGAAGCTCACCCTCAGCACTAGGGCCTCGGCGCGGGCCGTTTTTCTGAAGAACTCGCCTACCTCCGAATGATGGGAGCTCGGCGGTTTGGAGGATAGGACTGAGGGCGTCAGACCGTTTCTAGATCTGACTGAAAGACAGCCAAAGAAGCAGCAGACGAAACCCTGCCAGACACATTCCGGCCTGCCCGCGCTACACGAGCACTGCAGGCTTTAATCAGAGTTCAGCTATCTCCCAGCAAGACTGTATTTTTGTGTTTGTTTTTATGTTATGTGTTACAGGCGTTAAAATCTTGATTCCCAAGTCCCGTCTTCAGGTATTTTAGGCCAGGCTTGCTGGCCCTCGAAAGCACGTCGGCTGGAGAGAGCACGGCCCCGGCCCCGGCCGCCGTGCACGCCGCCCCCAGCCCATGCCCTGCGGAGCCCAGGTGCGTGCACGCGCCCCCCAGCTCTGCACCATAACAGGATCATGATTTCCGTTCAGTGTTACCGTGAACATAGTTAATGAGCACACCTCTCAGCCTTCTGCCCTCAGACTCAGGACAGAATGGTCCCTCCTGTGCTTCAGAGCCGCAGGGGAGGCGGTGAGCCGGTCACTCTGCAGTGTAAAAGCCTGGCTGGCCTGCGGGGCGGCGCTGGGGCGGAGGGCTGCGCCTTCCCGCCCTGGCTCCTTAACCGCAGTCTGGCTGGTCGGGGGCTGCTGTGCCTGGGCCCAGCCTCACCGCCCAGCCCTGGACCTGCTTTCTGCAGTAAAGACTGGTCCATGGCCATTCTGATCCTTGAAGGAATTTACTTCTACAACTGGAATGTGCTTCTGGGTGTGTAACAGATCATGCGTGTTTTATGTTGACACATCACATCCATTAGAGTCTGACCTCAGAAGAGCCCCAGGATCATGAAAAAATTTGTCATGTTATGTATTTATTTTTTATAAATCAGGGGACTTCAGCGTGCTTTTAAATATATTAAAACAACTTACACTTGAGGAACCCTAAGTCTCTTTGCGGTTGATTTTATTTCTGCCACAACTCTAGGGCCAGGAAAAATACAAACACTTTGATCTTGACTCGCGCCTTACGTATTCCTCTGCTCTTGAGATGTCTGATTATCTTGTCTTCCCATCACTGGGTGAGGTGGCCCCTCACACTGAGTCTGAGTTCTAGGTCTGTCCTCTGCTTTAAAGTGACAGAAGACACCAGGGTCAGGTAGCCAGGCCAGTGTGAACCAGCAGTTTGAAACAGGGTGGTGAGCCTTTCTCTGTTCAGAGCAGTGCGGCTGGTGGCAGGCCCGCTCCGGTCAGGGGGTCATTCACGCTGGGCTCACAGCAGCAGCTTCTGGAATCTGCAGGCGCCCTCAGGTTCTTCATTTATGACCTCCCCCTCTGCTTTGAGTAAGAAGGGAGGGCTTGAGCACTCCTTCTTCAAAGCCAACTTAAGCCTAGAGAATTATGCAGCTTGAAATTCAAAGCAAGCAGCTTATTAAGAAAATCTCTGGCTGCCTCCAGGCTCAGAAATAATTAAACACCAACTTTCTAGCCTGTTTTTATTAGAAAGGCTTAAGTGAGAAGTGGTTTCCATTTTCCCAGTAAGATTTAGAACTACTCATCATTTATGCTGTCAGCCTGAGAAGTGTTCTCCACATGACCGCTTTCACGTATCTGTCTGTCTCTAAGTTGTGTCTGCTCAGCCCGTCCTTCGCATGCTCCCAGCACGGCTCCAGTTCCCGCTGGCGATGGTCCAGGAGGACGCGCACAGCAGGTGTGGGCAGCGCATGACCTCAGAGCAGCGCTCCTCAAGAGGTGGATTTTGAACAATTAATCGTCCCTATATCAACTTGGTGCTTATTAAGTATCAAACGCGTCACACATTACAGGGGTAAACATTGTTAAGTACTGTTGCGTAAAATGCTGTGTACTCCTGAATGCGCGTGTGCGGGAGTGAGGGTCCCTGCGTCCCTGTGAGCACCCTACCGTTCTGAGGAGGCGGCGGGGCTTTGGAAGGGAGAGTGATCGGGATCCGTCCCCTAGGACAGATCGTGCAGCCTTGGGTCAGAAAGGCAGGACAGACCAAACAGATGGGGCTCCAGGCCCCTTTGCTTTGAACTGTATTTTACAGAGGTTTCCATGTATGATTTGACAGGAAGAAAAGCAGCTTGAAAACCCCTGCACCAGGAAGGATGCCTGTCAAAGGTGATCCTTCCTGAAACTCTGGTAACCCTCATTCTTGCATTCCCTTGAGACTGATCTACCGACCAGGGAGAAGCTACAGCCCACAGAACACTGTCAGGAGATAAGACTCCAGCCAAAAATCAATCATCTTTATTGTGCAGATTCAGTTTGCATTTTATTCTGACTCCGTTCAGTTTGAGTGGGGCAGAGGTAATTAGTCATCAGCAGAAGAAACCCAAATTCTATGCAGGTAAGTATTGCATGATGTGGGACAAGTTCCTTTTCCTGGGCCTCATTTTTCCTTATCTGTAAAATGGGACCAGTAATGGTCCTTACCCTCAGAGGGTTCTTGATTAAGAGGAATGCCAAGCAAAATACCTAGCACAGTATGTGGCATGTATTTAAAAGTTTAATACTTGTCGGTTGCTATTAGTAAACTAAACAGGCAGTTTCCTGGGTCTCTTCAGAAAACGATTGAAGATCTTTGAAAAGCTACCACAATGATAACATTTAATTTTTTTGGTCTTATTTTAGGTAAAAATTTTCATACAGCGAAACTGCAAATTTGAAGTCCATTTGGTAAGTTTTGACAAATGCATATGCTTAACACAAATACTAACACAAATGCCTTTCCACATACAAATTGTTTCCATCATTTCAGATAGTTCCCTCAGGCCACTTCCAAGGTACCCTCAGCCTTACCCTCAGCCCTGACCCCAGAAGCACCCGTTATCCTTTCCCACCATAAATTAGCTTTGCCTGTCCTGGAACTTTATAGGAATGAGACCATGTGGTATTTAGACCTCTTGTATAAAGCTCCTTGGGTTCAGCATGTCTTCGAGATTATGGCGTTGCATGTAGTTTGTTGCTTTTGTGACTAAATAGTATTTCACGGTGAATAGTCTTTCCCCTTGGGGCTTTTATGAATAATGCAGTTATCAAGAAGTCTTTGGGCATTTTCTTTACTCTTGGTTAAAAATCCACTGGAGTCGAGTTGCTGGGATGGGTACGTATCATGGCATAGGTGAGAGAACGTTCCCTGAGGTGGCTGGACCGTTTTACACTCCCGCCGATGACACACAGCAGTTCTGGGCGCTTCTCGTTCTTGCCAACATTTGGAGATGTCGTTTAATTTTAGCCCTCTTGATGGGTCCACAGTGGTATTTCATCGTGGTTTATCTTGCCGTTCCCTCATGATGAACAGCACTTTTTCACATGCTTACTGGCCATTCATGTATCTTCGTGGACATGTCCAAATTTTCTGCCCAGTTTTTTTCCAGTTGGGTGGTTTTGTGTGTGTTGTTCGGGTTGTTCATTGTCTCTAATTATGGAGTTGGAGGGTCTTCTGTATTTTCTGGATGTAAGTCCTCTGTCAGGTACCTTCTGTGACTGCTTCCTCCTAGAGTACGTTCTCAGTCTCTAGGCTGACGCCCACTGTCTTCACGGCCTAGTGGCCTTCTGTGTTCTGAGAGACATGGGGTCATTCCTGTGTCATGTATATGGTCTCATATTTTGATCCAGGAACTTTATAGTTTTAGGTGTTCCATTTAGGTCTGTAATCCGTTTTGAGTTCCTTTTTGCATATGGAGTTCGGGTAGGGTCAGGTCCACACTGTTACCTGGTTGTTCCAGCACGTTGGCTGAAAAGACGTTCCTTCCCCCACTGCACTGCTTTGGCCCCTTGGTCACACGTGAGACGCAGACGTGTAGGTATTTATGGACTCTGTTGCTGAGCTGTTCGTCTACCCCTGGGCCAGCAGCACGCAGCTAGTACCATGGTCAGTCTCAGTGTGGCAGTGAAGCTTCTCAAGCCTCATTGTTCTCACGATTGCCTTGGATGCTCAGGGTCTTTGCGTTTTAGAACCAGCTTGTCAGTTTCTACCCCCAAACCTCCTGGGATCGTGATGGGAATCTGCAGAATTTTTAGCTTAATAGTGTTCAGTTTTACAGTGTATAGACATGGCCTGTCTTTCTGTGTCGGTCTTTCTCAGCAGCACTTTGCAGTTTTCAGGGTAGAGTTCTTGGGTGTATTTCGTTAAACTGATTCCTAAATATTTCATGTCAATAGTATTTGACAGTATTGTAAGTGGATTTTTTAATTTTTCATTTCAAACTTTTTTCCTTGCTGGTATATAAAAATACGATTTTTGTACGCTGACCTTGAATCTTGCCAAATCTTACCAGTTTTAGTAGCTTTACTTTATTTACTTAACTCTTATTAGTTTTATGTAGATCATAAGGAATCCTGTGTTCTCCGTGAAGAATTTTCTTTCTTTCTTTCTGATCTTTACAACTTTTTTTAATTTCTTGCCTTCATTACACTGGCTCGAACCTGTAGGATAATGTTGAATAAAAGCGGTAAGAGTGGACATCCTTGCCTTGAACCTGATCTTAGGGACAGAGTATTCAGTATTTCACCAGTAAATGTGAGATTCATTGCACTTTTTTCCCCACAGGTGTCCCTTATCAAGCTGATGTTCCCTCCTAGTCCTGATTTGCTGAGTTTTTATGATGGCTTTTTTTACAACTGCTTTTTCTGAATCTACTAAAATCATGACTTTTATTTTGTTAATACTTTGAAGTACTTTGATTTTCAAGTATGAAACCAAGAGTGGGTTCCTGGGGTAACCCCAACTTGGCCATGATGCGCAGCGCACAGCAGCCTCTCTCCGTATTGCTGGGTCTGATTTGCTGATACGTTCTAAGACTTTTGCACCTATGTTCCTGCAGAACAGGGGTCTGTAGTTCTCATGTTTTGTGATGACTTTGTCCAGTTTTGGTATCAGGGTCACGCTGGCCTCAAACAAGCTGAGAAGTTCTCACTCCTGTTTTCTAAATTTTTTAAGGTTGTATTTAATAGAATTCGCTGGTGAAATCATCTGAGCCCAGAGTTTGCTCCTGACTTACAGATGCAATTTCTTTGATAGGACTAATTAAGGTTTTACATTTCATCTTTTTTCAGTTTGAGTATGTTCCATTTTTCAAAGATTTTTGTCTGTTGCATCCAACTTGTCAGCTTTGTCGTCGTAAAGTTGTTCATAACCTAGTTCTGTCTTCCTCACGTCTGTAGGACCTGTAGTGCCGTCCCCCTTTCATTCCTGGTATGTCTCTCTTCCCTTCATCAGTTTAGCTAGGGATTTGCCAATCTTTGTTTCTATGGAACTTTTGGCTTTTGATTTTTCTCTAGTGTTTGTTTATACTTACTTTGGGTTTACTTTGCTCTTCTTCTTTAGCTTAAGGTAGAACCCTTTGTCACTGACTTTCTACCTCTCATCTGTTCTAGTGCTGTTTATAGCTGTACGCCTCCTTGTAAGCACAGCTCTTAGCCGAGTCCTACAAATGTTGATTTTGTTCTCGTTACTCCAAAATATTTTCTAATTTCTTTTGATTTCTTCCTATGAGTTATTACAAGTGTATTTAATTTCCAAACATAAAGGTTTACCAGATACCTTGTTATTCATTTCTAAGATAATTTTATTATGGTTGGAGGGCGTAATCTGTAAACTTAAATCTGCTGGCCTTGGAGACTTACGTTATGGCCCAGTATGTGGTCTGTCTGCTGAACATACTATGCGCACTTGCAACGAACGTGTATTCTGCAGGTGTTGCTTCTAGTGTTCTCCAGGTGTCAACGTGGCTGATGTGGCCTTTTACACTTTCTGTCCAATTCTATCAGCTGCTGAAAGGGAAAGTGCTAACGCCCAACTACGACCCTGGGTTTAATTCTGTCGGGTTTTATTTGATGAACTGTGAAGTACTGCTGTTAGGTGTATACATGTTTGATAGTTTTTCTACCACACTGACGTTGTGTTCATCATGAAATGCCCCTTTCTTTGGTTACACCCGTTTTGAAGTTTACCTGACATTCACATAGCACTGCAGGCCTCATGTGCCTGCAGTCCGCACAGCGTACCTTCCTTCACCCTTTTACTTCAAATGGTAGGTAACTATAGACTTTCATTCTTTATCCTGAATTTTTTTGCTTTTTAGCTGAAACCCCACCTCTTTACTCATTGAAATCAGTAAGGACAGGCAGAGAAAGGGGATGGGGGTGGTGCCTAGGTAATGCCTCCCTTTTTCCCCTTTTTGTTAAAATATTTTTTTAATTTTTAAAATTGAAGTATAATTGACTTACAATGTTGTGTTAGTTTCTGGTGTACAGCAGAGTGGTTCAGAAATTAAATAAATTCATTTTCATAATTTTTTTCCCTTGGCTTCGTGCAGGAAAGAATTCAGGAGCAAGCCACAGCTGAGTAAAGGTAGATTTATTTAGAGATACATACTGCATAGCGTGTAGGCTGTTTCAGAAGGCGAGAGAAAGGCCACAAGGTGTGGGGGTTGGGTGCTCAGGTTAAAGTGAAAGTAGGTACACATTCCACAGAGCGCAGGCCGTTCCAGAAGAGGGAGCGAGAGGCCCATTTTCACGTTCTTTCCCATTATGGTTGATTACAGGGCATTGAGTATGGGTCCCTGTGCTGTAATCTTACATACAGTAGTGTGTGTGTGTCTGTTAATACCAAACTCCTGAATCCCCCCTCCCGCCTCCCCTGCCTTCCCCCTTTGGTAATGTTTGTTTTCTGTATACGTGAGTCTGTTTTGTAAATAAGTTCCTTTGTATCATTTTTTCAGATGCCACAGACAAGTAATATATGGTATTTTTCTTTCTGTCTGGCTTGACTTAGTATGATAATCTCTAGGTCCATCCATGTTGACAGCCTTGAGGGATCCCGTGTAATTACCTTTTTCTCTTGCTGCCTTTAGAATCGTCTTGAACTTCTGCCATTTTAATTATGTGCGTAGGTCTTGGTGTGGGTCTGTTTGGGACCCTCTGTGCTTCCTGTACCTGGATATCTGGTTCCTTTCTTAGGTTTGGGAAGTTTCAGCCATAAAGTCTCCATATACGTCTTCAGTCCCCTTTCCTTTCCTTCCGGGTGCCCTGTGCTGTGCGTCAGCGCCTTCGCGTGACCCCACAGGGCTCGTACACTGCTTTTTCTCCCCCCATTTATCCTTCCGTCTGCTGTTTTGACTGGGTGATTGCCATTATTCTACCTTCCAGATCATTTATTTGTCCTTCTGCATCATTCAGTTTGGTATTTACTGCCTTTAGCTAAGCTTCTGTCTGGGCAAGTGAGTTTTCTAATTTTAACTGACTCCGCTTTATAGTTTCCAGTTCTTTTACAGTGATCTGCGTTTCTCCGATAGCTTTTCTTAATTCCTTCAGTATCTGTATTACCTCCTTTCTGAACTCGGGGCCTAGCAGACTGGAGAGGTCTGCTTCACTGTTTTTTTCAGGGTGTTTCTCTTGACCTTGTGAGAGGTGTTCCTCTGGTCATTTTACTGGTATTTCCCTGGCTCTGTGACTTCAGGACAAAGTTACCCACTGTGGTCCTGAAGGCCAGTTGTAATGTGGAGGCCCCTGCGTGAGTCTGATCATCTGGGTGTGCGGGCTGCTTGCAGTGTGGACACCTGCCACGTCTCTCCTCTGTGCGTGCTGGCCGCCATCCCCTTGGTGGGGGTGAGACTGGTGGTCTGATGACCAGAGCCTGCACTGCGTGTTGAGCAGGGCCTCCTCTTTGCTCTGTGGTTATCACAGCCCTTTCAGGGGCCAGATCTGCTCCCCAGTTGTTGGAGTAGAAGCCCCTAGAATGTTTCTGAGCTGCAGTGTGAGGTGGGCAGGACTGGAGTGCTTCCGCTGGGAGAGGAGCCACTGAGTATTCCTCTGCAGGAGCTGTCCGCCAGGAGGTGCGCTCCGTCACCTGTCGTGCAGGCTCAGTACGCTGCTTTTGGCACTGTCCTTGGACTCACGTCAACCCTGGGGATGCAGGCAGTTGGCCCAGGTGTCACTCCACAGAGCTGCTAAGTCAGGCACCAGGACCCGCTGTGGCCTACAGGGTCAGGCCCACCCTGCCGCTACACATGCACACCTGCCGTTAACACGGGACCCGTCCCAGCTGCTCACCGGTATTCTGCTGGGATGTCCACAGGCACCAAGCTTACAAAGGCACAGGACAGCGTAAACTTGCCAAAGCTACCTGGGACTTGGCTCAGATTTCAGTCCCTCCCTTCACAAGGGCCTATTAACAATGGGGTTTTTACGGGGGGGGCACACCCTATAAGCAGGCCGAGGAGGCTGCTCTGGTGGGGGAGCTGCCCCTCCCCTTGTGTGAGCTGTGTATGACAGATCCGGGCTTCACTGCACACATTTCCACACTCTCCCTCCTCCTCCCCGCCACCCCAGGGTGTCTGCACACAGCCGACCACAGTCCTCTCCCCAGGTCTGTCCTCTGAAGCCCACATTTCAGCACCCAGCCCCTACATGCACCTCGACCCCAGACCCCAGTATTCCTCCCCTCTGATTTATCAGTCACATCCAGTCCCCAGTTTGTTGACTTTACCTCCTAAGTCTCTCTCACACCTCCCTCCTCTTGGTTTACACCCTCATTTCTCACCGAGACCTTTTTAGTCACAGGCACACTGGACTCCACACTGACACAGAAGTGAGCTTTCTCAGCTGTTCAAGTACAAATCCCAGTGCTACCACATACCAGCTGCATGGGCGAGGGGACCACGCCTGTTTATTTCTGAGATATGAGTGTCAAAACAGACCCAGTCATGATACTAAGAATTCCATAGTTTGGTTGCAATCGGCTAGTCTGCCACCTTCAAATTACGGCGATTAAAGGGCATTTACTGTGCAAAATGGGGACTGGCCCACGACCCATCAGGGCTGCAGCGGGGTGTACTGGCACCAAGTGGGAAGCTGGCCTGGAGGCTTCAGACCTCGCTTGGAACTAGGTAAGGGGAGACTGGTCACAGGTTCGTTTCAAGTTTTTATTGTGATTCCTTATTTTCATATATAACTAACAACTTTCCCCAAAGGGATGCTACACAATCTCCATTCTGAAAGAATAGAATGTATTGATTGATTGATCGTCAGAAATCCCTGTTAGGAAACTCCCTTGCTTTATCCTTGCTGCAGATGCCAGTCCAGCCCTGTTTCTGCTTCTGTCACACCGACAGGATCAGGCTCTACGCTCAAGAGCAAGCTGCAGGGACATGTTCTGGATTCCCATGGGTAAGAAGGCTGGGCCCCAACTTAAAGAGCTTTTTTCCTAATTTTTTCTTTTAAATTTAGACTGTTAGAGCTGGATTATTAATCCAAGATTTGTGTTTGCCTTGGCTAGGCCAAAGCTTCCTCCTGACCAGGCTACTGGGCAGGGGCCTGTGTCCGATTTTCCTTCCACAGAGGAAGGCATCAGTCAGCCAGGAGATAGTCCTTCCCAAAGCAGCCACTGTCCCAGGCCCTGCTGGCTCCCGGAACTGCATGCACAGAGCCAGAAGCCTTGCTCTCCCCTCTTAAAGAACCGATCTGGACCATCTTCCCTCCTTCCTAGCTGGCAGGGGCCCCTCATGATCATCATCACATACACTGTGTTCTAATCTGTGACGCCCAGGGAGCACGCTGGGCTCCACGCGGCCTGCACCCTGGGACCTTTCCTAATCTGGTACATCTTTGCCAAAGAAACCCCGACTAGGGGGTCATCCTCCCCCTATTTTTCTCTTGTTTGTGCTGACGCTTCAGGTGGCTGTGCTGCCACAGGGGGCTCTGGCTCCAGAGGGAGTGACGGTGGCTTTGTGAGCTGGGATGTTCCTCCAGCACCTAGTAACAGAACAGAGCGCTTCAGTTCTCAGTTCCAGAAGAAAGCATCATTTTCACTGTTAAGTTTCAAGAAGAAACCCCGTATTTTGTGGGACTAGTGGGACTGTGGCGTATCTTTGCAGGTGTGAAGGAAGACCATGACTGAAGAAATAAAGCAACAGTCAAGTTTGCCTTCAATGACCTTATAAAAGAAATCTTTAATTACCTGCACCATACTGACTTATGATAAGGCAATGGGAATAAAGCAAGACTACATCAGGAGAGGTACCGTAATGTTTCTAACTTGAATATTGTGAAGTCCCAGCATACTGACCATCCAAATAAGCCTGCCAGTAGCTGTTACACAATTTGCCTTAAGAGAACAAGTGACAATCTGGTCACCCTCAGGCTTTTTTTCCTCTTCTAGGCTACACTACATTGGACATGCTCTGAGTCTGAAAAGCCAAACCTCATTCACAGCTGGAATCTCTGCAGGCATGTGTGGCTGGTACTCACAGGTCCCCGAACAGCTGTGCGCAGCTTCCTACCTGAGGGGGGCTTCCTGCACGCAGCTGCTGAAGACATCGCCTGTCCTAGAGCTTGATTGGAGCCCAGAGGCTGCTGGAAACTGGTAGCTTTGCTGGTTGAAGTGGTCCGGTGCTTTGATTTGGGATCTTTAACTGGTTTAGTCCAGACCAGGCCTTCCCCAACCTGGAGAGCAGCTCCCAACTTCTGGGCCACCTCAACCATCTTGTGTCCACATGGGAAGGAAAGACAAAGTCACGGGTATGACCAGCAGATACGAGCTTCCTGCTAGGCCTTGGGGGGGGGGGTCTGCTGTACTAGCACTTGAGGAAGGAAATACTGCCTGCAAAGAAGTCGTTCTCAAACAGCAGAGAACACATACCCTAAGTGGATGGCAAGAGTGTTCTTAAAGGCTCTCAAAACTCAGTAATTCAAGGTTGGTGCATTCAGTGCATTACTGGACTAAATTCCTGCCTTCCCTATGTGAGAAGTGGGAGGAAGCTACAAAGAGACACAGAACTCAACTTAAATGAGCTGTATTATCAGTAACAGGTAACTCAGGAAGCCCAAATTTCCATATATTTTCTTCCAGGAAAGTTTTTTCTCAAGCTATTACTAACTTAAGAATTCATGCCATCAGGAACATTAAAGCCAAAACAGGCATGAGCCTATAATATATTAGGTACTTTTATATACATTATATATTATATATTACGTGTGTGTGTGTGTGTGTGTACACGTACGTACGTACATACACCTAATATTTGGATTATCTGGGCTTGATTCAAAAGTCTCCTGACAGCTTGCCTATGACTCCTGGGAGCTGGGGAGGGACGTACCTCCGGATCGAAGTCCAGGGAGCTACCGTCCTTGAGCAGGTTGACTTTCTTCTCCATCTCCTGGTACTGGGCCCGGGCGCCGCCCTTCTCACCCTGGCTGTACAGCAGCACGGCGTAGTTCAGGTTGACTAGAGGGTTACACCTGTGCCGGCAGACAGTCTGTGGGCTGGGGCTTCAGAGCTCCTTCTCATTACACAAAAACAGCAGAGATAGCTCCATCCCACAGCAAGCTAGGGGACACACATGGTGTGTGCACCAGTGGAGAAGAATCAAGGAATTAACTGCCCAACCGGCAAAGTGGGTATTGGGACCAAGTCTGACATCTTGGCCCTCAAAAGAGACCAAAAAGGAATCCCCGACCCAGCTGCCTGACGCCCGTGGAATACACCCCAGGAGAGTCAAGTTCATCTTCGATTAAACTGAGCCCAGAGAGCATTGCTATTCCAGCGAGCCCACGTCTACCAACACCCAAGCCCACTGCCAGCTCTTTCTCTGGCCTCCCGACTACTTAGGGCTGGAAAGATTGTCTCACAAAGAGTCAGTGTCGGCCTGCTGTGCACAAGGGCAGAGAAGCAGCTGGGCTGACTCAGGCAACCACGGACCGTGGCGCCACCTTGTGGCTTTGGGGAGTCCAACCCTCCCAACACCTCTCCTGACGGAGCAGCTCACTTGTCCAAGCGCACGGCCTCTGCGTAGGCTCTCCTGGCATTCTCTGTGTCTTCCAGGTTGGTCAGAGCCACTGCAACAAAGAAAGTGAGCACTGCGGCTGGAGAGCCCAGCGCAGGAAACAAAGGGGAATATGTGAAGACAGCAGCTCATTCAGCCCCCAGACATGGCTCCTACTGCACCCTCTCCAGTTCCAGCACCACCACCTGCTCAGCCATTCAGCTTGGATACCTGGTGTCATCTCCAGCAGTCCCCGCTCCACAGTTAACCAGCTGCCAAGTTCCATGAATCCCACTTTTTGCAGCTCCTTTGGTGACACTGCCCTTGCTGAGTTATGTCAGGTTTTCCATCTCGTTCCCCAGGGGCATGTCCCCACCTGCTTCCAGCCCCTTGCCACGGTGCTGCCAGGTATCTCGCTGACAGACAGCAAATGTGACCACAGCAGTAGCTACTTAAGCGGCCTCACTCCTCTCCATCACTCATAACCATCATCTTTAAACTGCTCTTCAGCAACAGAACACTCACCCCTTTCTAGTCAGTATTTTCTGGAAGGCTGATCTATAAAACAAAAACAGCTGCTCTGGAAGCCCTGCCCACTCCACCCACCCACCAACCATGCACCTGCTTCTAGCAGACACAAGAGGAGAGCTAGGAATACATGGCCTCGGGGAGCACGTCTACAGCCCCTGCGCTGTACCCACGGCCCTCCGAGCTCTGACCCCAGACCACCTCCCCTGACCAGTCTCCCACTAACAGCCAGGTCCACCCTGCAGCTCCAGGGCTGCAGGCCTTCACTCAGGGGCTCCTCAGCCATTCTGTGCTACTGAATTCCAGCTCACCTTTCAAACCCCACTGTGAAGACTCTCTCTACTTCATGAAATCAGGATTGCTGCTCATGCGCTACAGTACAGCTGTTTGTTTACACTCTTGTATCCCATTCCAGCTGGGCTCTCTGTATTTGTACTCAGGTAAATACCAAATACCCACCACTCAACTTGCTTTCGCAACCATTCTCTTATAAATCAGAACACCAAATGACCCAAAAAACCACCTGAAAACTACTGTCACTAAGAACATGGAAACTGCTTTTAGGTGTACACCTAGTCAACTTGGTATATGGAGAAATAGCCCCCAGAAAGAGTATTTAGTCAGTACTTTTATAGTAACATGAATAATAGACTATTATAATGATACCAAAACCAACATAACATTCACTGGCTGATTAAGCATGTAATCCTCTCATCAATCCTATGGGCTACAGCCAGTAACTAGTAGAGGCAGGACCCTCCCTAATGCCCAATATCTTAACACTTGATGAAACTGGAGCTTCGATGGGCTCAATGTGTATAAAACCGAGTCGTCAAGCCAAGGGAAAACCATGGTACAAGGCGAACTAGGGATCAGCCTGACTTAACCTGCTGGTCTTCAGGTGAAATCCCCCCAAGTCCGGAGCAACAGCACGCTCTGTCGTCTCTCTCTCGTATTTCTTCAGGCTCTAGGACGGTAACCCAGATTCCCATGGCATCTGCAAGGGAGTGGCTTCCAGGGGACATTTAACCGCATTTGACTCCTACGACTAACTCGCTCCCCTCATTACAGCCTGCGGAGGGGCCTCCAGGTAAACGTCTTACCAGCCAAGAGCATGTAGAGCTCCCCCATCTTGGGCTGGAAGTTGATGGCGGCGCTGAGGAAGTGGAAAGCCGACGCGTACTGCTGCATGGTCAAGTGCACGAGGCCCAGGTTGTACAGGATCTTCCAGTCGAAGGGTGCCAAGTAGTTGGCTCGTTTCAGGCAGCTGATGGCCTGGAGGAGAGGGGGGCCCTCCGTGAGAGGCGGGGCAAGCTGGGCAGCCCCAGTAACTAGGAACACAAAGCAGGAAGAGGACACTCACTGCCACGTATTTCTTCTTGCCAAAGAAACACATTCCGATGTTATTCCAGAGCGGAGGACTTTCTGGAACAGCACAAGCGACAACCCTGTATTTGGTGAGGGCAACATCAAAGTCCCCATGGGTCTGCATCATGCTGCCTGCTGCCAAGATGGCCTGAAAACACGGGACGTGACAAGTTGGTGACTCAGTCATTCCCAGAAGGCTGGAGCAGTGAAGCAGCCTTCCTGAGTCGAGACACTGAGCAGGCACATCAGCTCTGGGGGGCAAGAAGCTGCTTCCAGGGGCCTACATGACACCCCAGCCACACGACGGACACTCCTGCCCCAACACAAGGGCTCTCCGGCAGGACAAGAACAGAGACAGTGTCGCTGACCACCCAGCTCGTCTGTTTCCTACTTCTTGCCAGGAAAGTCAGTGCTTCAGAGAAATAGGGTCTTCAAGTCAAAACTGCCGTCAACCTGTTCCCTGCAGCCCCTGCTTGGTATCAAGGTGTTCTAGACAACTCACATGCACCTGCCTTCAGCCACTTAAGGTTCCGCTCCTTCTGCCACAGGGCAAGAGGTGAGTCAACTCGAGCTTTCCCAGCCCAGTGCTTCAGGTCTCTAAGCAAAAGGGTGGAAGTCAGGCTGACACAGCTGCCGAGACAGGCCTGAGTCTGTGCCCTGAACAAGCAGCCTGCTTCGCTGCTTCTCCCTCAAGGATGCTCATCCACTTGATGGTGATCTCACCCTCAAAGTCGCATCTGGACAGCTGTGACCTCAGACTCATCAAGAGTCTGGAAGCAGTTTTACCAGATTTATTTCTGACAGCAGCTGTGGAAGCTTTGCTAATTTCCTAAGTAACACACACAACTTCACTGGCCCGACAGTTTCGCTTTCTGCACAAGCTACAGCCCTGATACAGCAAATGTGCTCTTTCAGAAGAAAAGCAGCAGAGCACTAACGCTTCACAGTGTTTCCAAATAAGAAGAGCCATCTTTATGATTTTTCTAAGAAAAGGGTACTTTCTCAGGTATTCAAAATGTTTTCTAGGGCCAGATCACCTGTGGGAGCAAGGGGGCCATCTGTGTGAAGGCTCTGGGGTTTGACAGCCTGCAGTACCTTGTAGTTGGTAGGGTCATAAGTCAGTGCATTTCCAAGATGTTCAAATGCCTTCTGGTAAATGCCGAGCTTGGAGAAAAGCAAACCAGAGAATTACATTGAAGGGGAGACGGCAGTAAGGAGACTGGCCAACCACACCCTCAACAGACACACTCTGACTTTTCTCAGCTCTTTTGACAAAAAAAAGAGCTAGATACCAGATTTAAAAAAAAGAAAACGAAGATCCCCACAGTTGTTTCCCCTCCTATTTTGTTGATTTGTCCCCTAACAAGGTCATAGTGGCTATTTGCCAGGAACCGTCTGGCCACACTAGTGCTTTTCTGCACTAATGCCTCTTGGCAGGAAACGGGCTGGTTAGCCTCATCTCCCCTGGGGCCAACCTACCGAGCCAAAGCCCAGGAAGGCCCAGGGTTACACTCCCTTTGAAAGAAAAATGAAACAGACAAAAAAGCCACCACAGTGGCAGAGCTGGAGGCAGGATCTGCTGAGCAGGGAACTTGGGGGACTGATATGGGCAGCGCAGGGAGCGGCCCCTCAGGGATCCCT